TACAGCACGTTGATCTCGTTCCCGTTGTCCTCCGTCACCACAATAGCAAGTGATCGTCTTTGACCAAGGATCACCTTCAGAATCGCTGTAGAAAGTGCTGGGAGCTGGAGTCACTGTGTGGAATTGGATGACATCCACCTCCAGTGTCACTCCTTCTTGGAAGCGCCCATCTTGTAGGACATTCCAGTTGCTTTAGATCTTTTTAAATCAATTTTGCCTCTTTTAAAGGAAACCCCGGAAAACAAAATCAGAACTTGCAAAAATGACAGAGCAGAGAGGACAGTTCCTGCTGAAGCAGATTCCTGTTTATTAGTATATTTACGACAGAGCAATAGCTTCATAGCTCAATCGACCAGTGTCTAGAGAAAAAGACCAAGGGTTTAAACACATTAGAATAAACCATATGAAGTTATTAATATTCAATCATTTGACCCACAAAAACATCAGTTTCACATGGTTCAGGCTAAGAGGTGTGAGTAATATATCAGAGGGTCCAATCTGAAGTTAAGATAATGCTTCTTAATAACGTACACGAATACGGAAGTGAGATTCCATTTTCCCTAATTCAATTTGCATACAACTTTAAACATCGGTATACAATATTTCCAAAACCCATAAGAAGCACTTAAAACATCACCCATCACTCTCTAATTGCAATTACGAACAAGAGAACTTGAAAATAAAGAGAAATGATGAACTGTTTGTGTATTCTGCAAGTTAAGCCCTCGTCAGTTGCACCGTTTGCAAATATTACAAATATCAAATCACTTGTATGTGGAATCTAAAAAGATGACACAAATGCACTTATCTGCAAAACAGAAACAGACTCACAGACACAGAAAACAAACTTACGGTTACCAAAGGCAAGGGGGGGGGATAAATTAGGAGTCTGGGATGAGCAGCAGATATAAACTATTATATACAGAATAGATAAAGAGTAAGGCCCTACTGTACAGCACAGGGAACTATATTCAATAGCTTGTAATAACCTATAAAGAAAAAGTAAATGTACATATATAAAAACTGAATTTATATATATATATATATAAACTGTATCACTATGCTGTACACCAGACACTAACACAACACTGTAAATCAACTATACATCAATAAAAAATAAAAATAAAAAGTAAAGATAAATTAGACCACTCTGTTCTAAACGTAGATCAGCATTCCTTTCTAAATACATCTCTCTGGCTTGATGGTCCCTTTGATACTGCTCTAAAACATAATTTTAAAAGTCTTCTCTCTTACCTGCGGTCAGAGAAAGAATGCCCACCACCCCTGAGACACCACAGCCCAGTTTTATTTAAAACTGCCACTCCCATCTCATCCGGGAAGAGCCCCACATGCCCAGTTCGTTATTTTATCCACCACAGCACTAACCGAAGGAGGGAGGGAACTGCGACCAGCGAAGATGGTTCCTGCCCCTGTGTCCTTGGAAGTGGGTTCAGGGACGCAACCTGGGGTCACCCCGGTACACTCAGGGGCATCTGAGCCAGGGCACAGACAACAGCACTTGTGCCTTCGGGATGGGTGAGTCCCGGCTCCACTGGGCTGTATGAGGCACCGGAACTGGAGAGCAGAGAAAACTCGGGAGACCCCTTGTGTTTGGACAACACCCTCCAGGGTCAGGAGAGGGTCCAAAGCACATTCTGGCTGCCATTTAACAGACACACACAGACCCTTCCTGTGTTGCAAAGACACGTGGGGTCCTGAAGTCCCCGCTGAGTGAAAGCTTCAGGTCCCATTAAACACATTCATTCTTGTAAATATGATTTGAAATGAGCAATGGGATGAGAACTGAGCGCTTTTTTTTTTAACTTCTCCTTCTCATGTGTTCCCCAAACTGTGCCCCCTGACGATGCCTTGGAGCACAGACGGGACTCAGGGGAGACAGTAAACAAGGAAAGCTACAAGGGTTGCCGGGCGGTACCCCGCAGGCCTGCAAGCTTTGTGCCCGCCCAGCTGCAAGGCTGAAGCCGCAAGAGCCCGGGGACAGCGACAGACACATCCGTGGTTTAATGGACAGGGGCTCTTACACGTCCAAAGTGAAAAACGGCTCTGGAGTGACATCCCCCATGGACGGCAGGCAGGACAGGGCAGCAGGCTTCAATACCAGGGGAAGAGGGAGGTCACCAGTTACAGGGGGAAACGAGGTCGGGTTGGCTCACTGGTTACCAGGGAAACCAGTAGGGGACCACCCCTGTCATCCCTCCCGTGGTACACAATGCCGGTGGAGACGTTCTGATCTAGACTAGAACAATCACTAGCTGGGGCCAGGGGCAGGTACACAGGCATCTAATGATGAGGTGCTATGCTTCAGAGGGAAGATGCGTCAGGTGAGCAGGGTACAGGTGAAGCAGGGGATGTACAGAGAGCAAGAGAACCGCCATCCTGATGGCCTGATCATACAAGGGTCAGTCCTGCACCGTCCAGCCGTGGAAGGGGCAGGGTTTTCGGTGCCAGGTGGCCAACCAGACCCGGACTGAAAACTGATAAGCCCCTGTCCAGGAGCCTTTCTATCCCAGGCAACTGGAATGTCACTCGCTGTGTAATGAGAGCTCATTTCCCCGCTTCTGACGAGCCAGCCCCATGCCTCTCCATCTCCAGCTCTGCCAGAAGTTTCCTGTCACTCATTATTATAGCCACGCTGGTAAACGGCCCAAGTATGCACTCAATAAATACCACAGATGTGTCTCCTGGAATAACCACGAGCTGGGAGGCACAGCCCTGGGTTGGGCCCACGATGACTGGGCAAATTCCCACTGGCCTTCACTTTTAGACAAAAAAGGAAGAAACAGCCTCCCTCAGGTGCCTCGGCCGGAACTGACGGGGCACTTCCAGCCCAGCCAACTGCAAGGGGCTCCTTTACCTGCAGCAGTCCCAGAGGCAGGTGACGGATCCCGTAAGGATGAGAAGGAAGCCTTAACCCATCACTCCCAGGAAGCGGGTGAAGCAAGAGCTAGCAGCCAGCTCCAAGCGCGGAGCCCAGAGCTGAGTGACTTTGAAAGACAAAGAAGAATCAAGTCTTCAACAAGGTAGCTTTTATTGCTGTAAAACCACCTCAGTGAGCAATCACTCCATTTATACAGGCCAGGCTATGGGTCAGACGCCGGGGTAAAGAACATCAAAACAGAAGACGATCTGACCCCCCCCACCCCGCCCCCAGCACTAAAGACTGTTCTTAAAATTGATTACTTATTCTGCCCTTCCTTCCCTCAAAGTTATTTCAGGAAGGGAGCCCAAAATCTGCAAGTAATTTCCAAATCTACTTGATTTTAATCTTTAGCAAAAAAAAAAAAATGATCAATGGGTACCCTTCTAGGATACTGTATTAGCATCATTCTAAGGGACTCTATAGAACAATTATTTGTCTCATTTTGTCGTCCTAGTGAGGCTGTAATGGACTAAATGTGTTCCCTAGAATCCATATATTGAAATTCCAGTCCCCAAGGTGATGGTATTTGGAGCTAAGCACTTTGGGAGGTGATCAGGGTTTGATTAGGTCATGAGGGTGAGGACTCCATGATGGGGTTAGTGCTCTTACAAAGAGAAAGAGACATAAGATTTCTGCCCCTCTCTAGGTACAAGCACGGGGGAAAGGACACAGCCAGAAGAAGGCCGAGCGTCCTCACCAGACATCAGGTCTGCTGGTCCCGGACTTCTCAGCCTCTAGGAAACACTTCTGATCGTTGGGCATTATCAAGACTTACTCTGAGATACACTCTGACTCGTGACCCATGTGGCAAGAGGAAACAGTGACGGTCACCCTGAGTCTCCCATGGCAGGCTCCCATGACACTGGCTGGCTGTTCACAGAAATTAAGTGGATCAGTGCCAGCCTTCCTTAAAAAGACAAACATCACGAGCACAATGCCAGTCACAGTGAACGAAGCCAAAGGCCCCTGAGAAAGGGCGGCTGTTTGGACATCTCTGATGGCCACACCTTGATCAGCTATTCAAAGTGCGGTCAAGGTCATCATTTCCAAGGAACTCTCCCCAGCCACACAGTCAAGCCCAGCATCCTGGCTCCGCAGCTTCACCGCCTCCGTCACACGGGACTGCTCATCTCCAGGAGGCTCACCAGCGCACGTGGCGAGCCCATGTCTGGATACCAAGTGCAAGAACATTTGTTCAGTTATTGCTCAAGTGCTGCCATAATATTGTTAGAACTGAGTTTTCCAGGGTATGAGAGCAACGACGGATCCAGATGGACTCACATAACAAACTCCCTCTCAATGGAATAATTCTTAGAGCCACAGGCTTTTTTTCCAGCAGAATTTGCACTTGAAGTCCTTGCATGGGTGAGAATGACTATGAGCGTGATCTCCAGCCATGGAATGAGCTAACAACACTACAGTGATGTGGACCTAGCCTTCAGGGCACCGCTGACCCCAGTCCAGCCCTCAGGTTAGCAAGCGTGCTCACCTTTGTGTTAAAGGCAGCCGTGATACAAGAAACCACACTTTTTCCCATCCCCATACAGAAGACGATATTCAGTTACAGCACCACTCATAATAAATCAAGCTTAGGCACCAAGTAGCCCTAAAGGACTGACTCCAGCATGCATACCTCCCCTACAGCGATCCCACATATTCACTACCTAGCAGACTCCGCCTCCCTCCCCAGCTTGCAGAATTCAACAGTCGTATGATGATGGAAAAATTCTCCATCAAGCAGCTGATTCTGCTTGTGAGATTTAAATCTCAGAACAATAAGTATTAGTGTTCATGAGAAGGATGCTTTCAACACCACCAGTCTATTTTATGTAATAATCCCCAGGGATGCCAAGACACAGATTTTTACGATGATGAATGTCCGGCCCACGACACTGTTAGGACAATACACGCTGCTGCTCGGAAACTTCGGTTGCATTTCCTCAATGCAAAACGAGGGGCTTCTGCACAGAAATTCCAGGGCATACACTGATTGATGTCTAATGGTGGGAATGTGACATTTCTAAACAAGGCAGTCCACACTCACGTTTTATAGTGAATTCTCTTTTCCTACGTTCACTGATAATTCTTGCATGTGCTTCTCCATTTTTTCCTTCATCCTCACCAGAGAAGAAACTGTATTGGGTAGTGGTGTGTTTGGTTTCATCTCAGGCAAGTAACTTCAGAATTTTCAAGCTGAAGGGAACCTGAGATCATCTACCTCAACCCCTAACTTTGAGGAAGAGGATACCGATGGGCTCCTTCAAAACTACTTTCTGTCATTTGCTCCAGCAACCATGTACTCAAAGAGACTAAAATGCCCGTGAGCCTGGACCGCAAACCTTTGGCACACCCAATTCAACAGCAAGAGGAGAAATTCTCATCTCCTCCCTCAGTGAATAACCTGGGCAAACCTGCTCTACCCGATTTCTGTTGCTCCCACAACAAAAACCACAAACCTAGTGGCTTAAAACAACACAAATTCATTACCTGAAATTCTGTAGGTCAGACATACAACCCAGGTCTCGCCGGCTAAAATCAAGGTGTCTGCAGGGCTGTGCTCCCATCTGGAAGGTCTGGGGGCACAGCTGTTCCCTTGTCACTCCCGACTTGCAGAGACCATTACCCTTCTTTGGCTCATGGCCTCCCTCTCCATCTTCAAAGCCAGTAATGTGAGTCAGGTCCCAAGTTCCTTCCAAGCTTTGGATTTCTCAGGTCATTTCAACTAACATGCCAGCCCTCCCGCACACAGTCTCTCTCTCTCTCTCCCTCTCTCTTCCACGTTCTCTACCTTCAAGAACTCAGATGATTAATACCTTGGGCCCACCCAGATTATCCAGGATAAGCCAGCCAGCTGAAGGTCCATTCTCTTAATCACATCTACAACCTCCTTTGCGTCTTGGAAGGTAACGTTTCCAAGTTCTAGAAATGCAGACTTGGACATCTTTGGGGAGCCTTTATTCTGCCTACCGTACCTGCCCAGCCTCCTGCCCCTCACTTCATTAAATGGCCCCACAATCCATCTGGTGACCAGGGCAGAAATCTGAGAGACCTGCCTGGATTAATCCCATCTATTTACACTCCACGTCCAGTTAATAGCTAAATCCCATCGACTCCAAATCCTGACTGTCATATACTGTCTCCAGCTTCTTACACACTCAGCTAAATCCAAGATTGAGTCCTCCTCAGAAATTTTCACCTCCTTCCTTCTTCTGGAACCAGCCTTGATTTTTTTTTTTTCAATTCATTACACTGTTCTTATGAGGCCGTGTGCTTCAGGCCAGGTGTGCTCCAGCCCCAGTTCCAATGGATGAGTCTAGATGGCTCTCAGCTAGTCCTGGTAGCTCCATGCCCTTTGCCAGTCATTTCTCCACATGAGAGGAAACACAGGGTCCTTTATAAACACATTGAGCCACTGAATTAACCAGCACAGGAGTCACTTTACCTTGAGATTTCTTGTGAGGTCACCTAAGTCAAAAGGAGTTGAGGGTTTCTATTACTTGCTTCTAAAAACATCCTCTATGGTACGTTGCTCATTAAAATGACTGTCAAATTTTACTCACGGTTCCACTTGCTCCTGGTCTCCCACCACCTCCAACCTCTTTGCCTCAGCCTATACATCATCTACTTGGAAACAGAATAACTCTCCAAAGCCACCGATCTCAGGCATTCCTCTATTCAAAACACTTTAGTGATGTCCCACTATCCATAACTGTGCTTCTCAAAAATCTGTGCTGACACCCCTCTAAAGAATCTAGGAAAACTATGGAGCCAAAAGTTAGTTTTAAGTTGATACCTTAATTTTTGTCATCATACATTCAAAAAAGTTATTAAAGATGTAATTTCAGGGGATGGGGGTAGAGTGTGTGCTTAGCATGGGTGAGGTCATGGGTTCAATTCCCAGTACCCACATTAAAAGTAAAAAATATTTTTAAAAAGACATAATTCATGGTATGTTATAAATGTTAACACTTTAAGCAACACAACAGTTATTCAGATAAATCCACAAGTATCTAAGCAGCGTAGTGAGTTGGTACCCATGATCATCCATTTAAAAATAATTAAGCCCTTCTGTAATTTTTATGTCCTACCAGGCACTTCTTGTATTTCCATTCTACTTCCCCTGCAAAATTTTATCTTCATGAATATATGTTCTATGATTCAAGGTATTTTATTGATTGACCTATCATATACATCCCAACAAACAGCAAACTATGCATATAATTTAGAATTACTAATTTACTTTGAATTAGGCCCCAAGGGTGAAACCACTTCTGAGTTATACAACAACATTTACTAGTAAACAATTAGGAAAAAAACACATAAATACAATAAAAATTTGGTCAATGACTATAAAATATAAAAAGTGGAACAATTTAAAATGGATCTCTTGATAAGATGGACAGGGCTGAAGAAAATTAACCCAGGCATCTACAGAGGACTGTTCCTTCATGCTAAAATAATAACAGTTTAGCATCCATTTGATGCCAAATTTTTCATATTTCTCTGCATAAGTTCTGATAAATCCGTTTGGCCTAAATAAGTAAACAAGTGTGTAAGAGTTTCGCCATGGCCACGTCACTCAAATCTCTGAACTCCTTTTGAGTTTTAGGCCATCAAACACAGCGCCCACCACCAGCATTATTTTTAATTACCTGTCAACTGATGAGCCACAAAGGCCTTCCATTTTGCTACAAGCAAAATGTCCTTTGGTTTAGGCCTTGGAATGCTTTCACATCACAGGACAATGTCTCATATTAGGATTCTGGACATATGAGAGAATATCTCCCTTAAAGGGAGAAGGGGATGCATTCCCAGGCACATAAATTTCAGGAAAGAGTACCTATAAAAATCAAAAAGTGGAAACAGCTCTTCCCCTAAGAGTCTCTGAGCCGCGGCATGTCCCCCATCTGAATGTCTTCATTAATGCCCAGAGGTAGGTCTAAAAGCCGTTTTAAATGGCTGACCTGTAGGATACAACGAGAATTTCCTGGCAGAAAACACACTGCCTTTCATGACTGGATGCAGGCTCGTGTCCCAGTTCCCACCTTCATCCCTCGCCACCCGCTTCCCTCCGCCAGCTTGAGAAAACTGCATGCCGTATACTGGTTGCAAGCCTGCTTTTCAGAGCAACATGTGTCAAGAAGACTTCCTGCCTTTACTACACTCTGACCCCCAGCCCGCTGCTATTTTCGACACAAGAGATGAGTCACTGAAATTTATACAGACACCCAGCCCCCAGCTCAGTCCAGTCGCAGGGACTCTTGTTTGCCGTGTGACAGAAACTAACAGCTGCAGTTTAACCGGCCACCATACCTGTAGGATAAAATTCTGTAGAATAAGCCACCAAACCATAAATTTCTTTCCCACTCTCTAGGGAACAATTCCAGCATTTCACATATGTAGAGAGAGAGGCTCCTCTGATTACTCTGCTCTCCTGGTCCCTCTTACGACTGCTCTTACTGAAGCTTTCTGATTGTCCCTTCCCCATCCCAAATACAGAATCAGTCACTCTCTTCCCTGACAGCACATCGCTTTTACTTCTGTTGGCTATTTTTCCCATTCTGCTTGGTGTCATGATGATGATGCGTGAGTCTGGTCTCCGTGGTGGCCACATCCACTGGTTCCAACCTCACGTGGTCCCTGGGTCCTGACCACCCCTCCTTGAAAAAAATCTCTCTTCCCTCAATGCCAGTCCATTCGTCTCACTCCATGCATGATCCTCCCTCCTCATCTTCCTTCACATGCACCACCCCCCTGTCTACTGCTTATTCCAAAGGTTCTTACACTCTCGTGGTCCAAGAGCAGTGGTCTCAGGCTCGACCTCTGCTGACCCCCAAGTCATATG